TTTTTCCGATATTGTGGCAACCAAATGAACGTGGTGAAAGTCCTTACCTAACTTACAGTGACAAGAGAGGCTGATAGTTTTTTTTGTACTGTAGATCTGAAGAAGCTAATTTACGGATTAATATAAAGTTGTGTGAAGTAGTTGACAGAATGATGAGTTTTAAGAACAACACTTACAACCGAAAATTCATGGTTGAAGTTCAGGTTTTTCGACAACTGCATATATGGAAAGAGTCCAGGTCTAGTGGGAGCGGAGCTTACTATTTTTCGATTCTCTGATTTTATTTTGATTTTTAACCATGAAAAAAGTATAGCAAGTGTATCTATGAAGTATGTGTCTGTCACATGCAGGAGCAAATGAGAGCTTTGTAGAATTTATATTGGACGAAAATAAGATTTTTGGCATCATCAGTACTCTTAATTTTTGGCTTGCAGCTTTGCTTACCAAAGACTCACGCCAATGTACAAAGGTAAAGCTAAAGCTTAACTTTTCTTTTCAACCCGAAAAAAATAGAATAGAGTTTCAACCTCCGTTTCCTTCCTTCTCTTAGGCGGAGCTTACGAAAGTTGGAGAGAATTTAGTCATTCACTAATGGAACTGAATAAATCTATGACAGATACAACAACTTTTTTGTGCGTACAGTCTCCAAGATTAGAGGAAAACATACGAATTTTTTTAACTGAGTTGTTTTGCGCTGACTGAAACAATTTTTTCAGGCGCCGTCTGTTTTGTCGCTTCTTCGGCAAAGAACGTACGGAACTTTTTCCTCCGCGTCAAATAACCGTTTTTCCTGAATTTACTGCACGATGTGGATTAAACGACGAGGCGAGTTTCATAGCCGTAACCCTCAATGATGATGACAAAGTTAGCAAGTTGGAGATGCGCGATATCGAAGAACACAAACCAGGTACTGTATTCATCTTAGGCGTTGCACGATAATCTGTATCGGAAGTCATTTTCAGATCAACAACAACACTACTTCAGCGTATGTTTAGCACCATTGTGGGGTAACACACCGAAATGGCTCATGCTCATCGAGTTCATTGAATATTACTTATCGCAGGTAAGTCGCTAGATATAATCGTTTGGATCGCACGGTTGTTTATAGTTAATATACATATACTGTAGCGACGCGACCGAGGGGGGGGGGAGCGTGGAGGGAAGGAGAGAGAAATGTTTGAAAGTTTTCTACATGAGTTATACAAATGTATGACTTATATACAAAGGCTTTCAAATTTCTTACCTTAA